ACGATGATCTACTCGACGAGTAGAATAAGTTGGTCTATTTACTTTTGTAATTTGACCATCAGATCAAGTCCGAATATTTGGTCGAAATTGACACGTAGTCACACCTTTTCATTTTCCACTTTTATACAACTTTTCATTTTCCAATTTTTGATTAATTATTTGAACCAATTCCTACAGCAACAAATTTCAACTAATAAGATGTCTCTTTGTTTGACCAATATTGTTGATATGGAAGGGGCACTAACTCTTGGCCACACACCTCCCATTCATTACTTGTTCCTTTTACGTATTGAATAGTGAAAGCATAAAAAAATTAATTAGAATTGCCACAATTGAGGAATCACTTGCTTATTTATTCTTGAAAACTTATATCTTCACTCTATTTGTAAGAGATTCAAGTTTCAACCTAGCTCTTTTTTAAGTGCATGTTCGGTAGATAGTATTCGACGTGACTAGATAGACTTAGTTAAATAAGAAAAAAGGGTTAAATTTTATGCATAATACTTTTCAATTCCGTCTAGTAGTGATTGCATAGATACTGCATAACAAGGCCATAGCATTTGTGAAGGCTCTTTACTCAAGCAATCAAGAATATTTCATCACAATAATGTTATAGAATTATAAGATCAAAGCACAAAAACACCACCAGAAAAAAATGTGGATGTTGCTAAAAACGAACGGAAATTTTTTTGGGGTTGGAATTGTTTGCAGAAATCACGAGAGAAAAATGAAAGCCGCCTTATCCAAATCCACTCGAGGTCTGGTATAACCAATTATTGGAAAGTGCCTTGCTATTTTTGAGGGACTAAATTTTTTCGTGCCTTGAACATGATTGCTTTGAGATGGAGTCATATAGCATTAATGCCATGCAAGCTAATCATAATCCACAAATCCATGCTGCTGAAGAGCTATTTCTTACCCTCGTTTGAGCTCTATTAAATTTTAAAAAAAATTATTTTTAATCTCGTATTCTTTAATATTACAAGTAAATTTAAAAAAATTTCTTACTTTTTAACCATGCATTCTTCAAAAATTACTATTTCAAAATACATTTTTTCCCAAAATCTCATTAAAGTGAAGTCCAAACGAGAGCTTAGTAGGATATCAGAAATTGATTGTCTCGTTCACAACTTTCAAATGATCCACAAGTCCATGTTGCTGAAGAGCTATTTCTTACCCTTGTTTGCGCTCTATTAAATAAAAAATATATATATTTTTAAAAAAATTTATTTTCAATCACGCATTCTTTAATATTATAAGTAAATTTAAATTTTTTTCTTACTTTTTAACCTTACATTCTTCAAAAATTATTACAAAAATTATTATTTCAAAATACATTTTTCCCAAAATCTCATTAAAGTGAAGTCCAAACGAGAGTTTAGTAGGATATTAGAATTGATTGTCTCGTTCATCCTATTGTTTGGCTAGATGAGCCACAATAATGCATTGTAATATAGCCCTTGTTTGGCAGCATTTTGTATCATATTTTTAGAAAAATTCTAGCCGTTATACGAAACTTGTCTAAGGAGCCTTACATTTTGACTGGATTACAGAAATATTACCAATGTGCCCTACACAAAATAAAATAAAATCATTCTTCTTTTAAGATAGAGCAATTTCGGTAATTCGCAATATGTGCAACATCACAGCTGTCAATAATTACAGTTTGTTTGGGTCCCAACTATTTGCTGAAACAGTAAAAAAATGTACAATCGTGCTACACAGACAATCTAGTTCCAGGCCATTTTTCGGCTTACGTGTCATTAAAAATAATACAATAATAATAATAATAAGGTAAAAAAAATTAGAAACTTAAAAAACCCAATAGAATTGCTTTCCCCAAATGGAAACCCACCACCCACAGAATACGTTTCGGCGAAAACAAAATCCACACCTTCAAAACCTCTACCCACACCACACCATCTCCGGCTGTATGGAAATCGGAAGAACACCGTTCCTCCGACAGCACTTCCATCTACTACTTTTCGCCATTTGAAGATTTTGGATCTCCGGACGCACCTCAGTCGACATTCTTGCCTCCAGTCCGAGTACTCTTGCATCCATGGTTTCGCCGCCTCATGCTAGAGCATCTCTGGCCGGTAGCTAAATAGCACCAGATTTATTGACCTGTAGGAGTTGAAATTTTGTCATTTTTGTTGGAGAATTTTATCCTAGATCGTTGAGAATCAATGTTTACTTCTGATATTTTTTTTTTTTCACATGTATCTTCGATATTTATTTTAGTCTTGTTCATTGAGAATCAATATTTATTTAGCCTAGTTCATTGAGAATTTTAGTCTAGTTCATTGAGAATCAATATTTATTTTCGATTTTTTTTTCCCGCAAGTATCTTCAATATTTATTTTAGCCTAATTCACTGAGAATCAATGTTTAACCTAATTCATTGAGAATCAATATTTATCAATTTTTAGCCTAGTTCATTGGGAATTTTAGCCTAGTTCATTGAGAATAAAATTCATGAATATTAATGTGTTTAAGTGACTGCCTACTTCATACTTATTGATATGCTCTGTCATTTCAAGTCTGGAATTTTCTTCTTCTGGGGAGGATGGGTGATAACAATGTTCGGAATGGTTGCCTTGATAAGAAATTATTAAAAGACTAGATTTTTGGATAGTGAGCGCCCTCTGAAAATGCAAATGATTTAGTTTGGTCAATTTTTTTGTGTTCTAAAAATGATAAAATATGGGAGAATTTGTTGATTCGTAGCTCAATTACATATGTCTCAATTACACTTGTCTTTGGGGGAAGAGGATAGATCAAGTTTCACTTGAAATTATGCTACTCATTGCCTCCGGCGTATTTACAATGTTGCCAATTGTAGAATTACAATAAATTGTTCAATATATCAAATAAAACCAGAAAATTAAATTCTCGAGTCAGTGTCGTGATCTTGTTAAATCTGGATATGTTTCCATCCTAGTCAAGAAACATGCATATGATAAAGCAAAACTTCACTTACTTCTGAATGATTAAAAAAAAAGATGCCTCTAAAGAAAAATTGAAAATAACATTCAATGCAAGATATGCATGGTGATGGTGGGTGATTCCAAAGACGAGAACTGGAGAGGCTGTTGGCTGTATAAAGGAGATTTTATACAAGAAAAACTAAAAAAGATATGCATTCCTTTCTTGGAATGTTTGGAATGTTGGTGACAGGAAACAAGACCAAGAAATCAATTTTCGGAGTCATTGCCGGACGTGTAGCTAAATTGGGGTGTTAAATGTGGCATTAATTTGTAATCTTAGGAAATAAGGTTACATGCACTTGAAGAAAATGTATCAGGAAAATACATGATGCAAATTCATGAATTATTAGGTGTCCATTTATATTCCCATGTCTCTAGAGTTATCCATGTGGTCCTATAAATAGAGGTCATTCTTGTAGTCTCATTGTAAGAAAAAAAAAAAGAAGAAAACATTATTGAGTGTGCTGTAGCAACTCAAAAACTATCAATAAAAATTCAAGTTTTTCTTCAACACTTCGTTTCCGCACTAACAAATTTGGTATCAGAGCCATAACTTGTGATTGCATTTTTTCATGGCTTTCTTACAAACAGCTTCGTTGTTTACATATTCTTCCAGTCAAGTCCCAATCTTCGAAGGCGAGCATTTTGAATACTGGAGCATCCAAATGCAAACTTTCTTCATCTCCTTAGATCTTTGGGATGTCATTGACGATGAGGAGTACGAAGAACCATCCGAAGACAATGAAGATTACGAAAAATTGCAAAAAGAATTTAAAAGAAAAGATGCAATGGCTCTCCGCTATATTCAACAAGGAGTCGGGAAATCAATTTTCCCTCGTATCTTTGGTGTTAAAAAAGCCAAAGATGCTTGGGAAATATTGATGCAAGAATTTCAAGGAACGGAGAAAACGATCGCCTTGAAACTTCAATCCTTATGGAGAGACTTTGATAATCTCCAAATGGAAGAACGAGAATCGGTTCGTGTTTTTTCTTCACGAGTAGCCGAGACAGTAAATCAAATCAAAAGCTGTGGTGACACAATTACAGATAAAAGAGTCGTGGAGAAAATGTTAAGATGCCTTCCTCCAAAGTTTGACCATGTTGCAGCCGCAATTGAAGAATCGAAAGACTTGTCCAAAATGACCATTTATGAGTTAACCGGGTCACTTCTTGCCCATGAGCAAAGGATCAATCGTTCGAGTAACCAATCCACTACCGAACAAGCTTTCCAATCAAAGCAAACATCAAAAGGAGGATCGAACAACTATGGAGAACACAACAGAGGCTCAAATCAAACAAAACAAAAAGATAGCTATTGGAAGAAGGGTGACAAGCAAAGCAAATGGAAAGGCGAGCAAACACAAATTTCTGGTGGTAACAATCCAACTTGCATAATTTGCAAAAAAATGAATCATGAATCAAAGGAGTGCTACTTTAGATGCAAAAGGTGCAAGATCCCCAATCATTCTCAAAGGGATTGTTGGTTTCAAAATAAAGAGATGACAGAAAGAAAAAGTGCAGCAAACTTTTCTCAAGAGAATGAAAAGGAAATTCTGTTTTATTCTCAAAATTATGAAAATGGAGCTCAAAGCCCTTGGTATTTGGATAGCGGTTGTAGCAATCACATGACGGGGAATCGCGACATCTTTGTGGACCTTAATCCAAATATTACTTCACAAGTAATTCTTGGCGATGGAACATGTAGAGATGCGGTAGGAAAAGGCACCATTGCTGTCCAAATTAAAGAAGGTAACAAGAAACTCATCACAGATGTTCTTTATGTTCCCAATCTTTCTCATAATCTCCTAAGTGTTGGACAACTTATTCAAAGTGACTTCTCTGTCCACTTTGATGATGTTTTAATTAATTATAAACACTGAGGGTTTTAATTGTAAAATTCAAAACCTTAATGGCCCAAATTAAATAATTTTCAAGCTTTAGGGATTGAATTATTAAACCCAAAACTTTAAAGGTTCAACTTGGATGAACTTTAAACATTAGGAACTTAAATCATAAAATTATAACCCTAACCCTAATTGCAAGCAGGGGCTTCAAGTTATTCAATTTACACGTGAAGCCCCCACCCCCAAATTCATCCAAATCCCTCTTTTTCTTCCTCTCTAATGGTGCCGATGGTCGGCTGTTCCAGGCAATGACTGCACAGCCAGCCAGATCTGGATTTTCAATTATTTTCTAAAACTTTAATGAAAAAAAACATAAAATCGAATTTCCAAAATTTCTAATCCAAATCTAGGAAGATAACCATAAACAACATACCAAAGAATTTTCAAATTCAACAAAAAACTAGATCCAAATTTTCAAATCTGAAAACTCTGAAAATATTGCAAGAAGTAAATCTTATATAATCATATGATAGAAGATCAAATAACCCAAAATTCAAAACTATTAGAACCCTAATTCTTGTAATTTCTCAAAGATTCAACAATAGAGTGCTCTGATACCACTTGTAGTAATTGAAAGGAACCAAAATATTAACAAATCCTTTCACAAAAAATACATAAATCCTCCATGTAGAAATCAAAGAGAAGATTAAAAGTGTGAGCGGAAATTGATCCATGAACGTGAGTGTTTTGAACGGGTTATGATATTTCAATTGTTACGTAATTTCCTTGGAAATTCTTCTCTGTTGATGGAGATGCAGAGATATATGAAAATCACTTATAATTGGGGACCATGACCCCACGATAAATAACTGCATTATTATCTTTATGTTATTTCAAATTGGCTTCTCATCAATTCAAAATAATTTTTTCCCGATCTCTACACTTTATTCCCACGACATTTAGTACCCAATAGTCCAAAAATTGACTTTAACGAATCACTTTATTAACTAAACCTTAAAATAGCACAACACATTTTAATATACATACACGTGTGGCTCTATACGTTGGGAATTTTTTCCAACAAACTACTGCTAAACAACCACCGACCACCACAAAACCTACATAAAAAGTCAACCTTAACCACAATAAATCGAAACCCTAATCCAAAACCCGATCCCAAATCAATCTGAAGAAGTTAAAATCACGAGTCAAAGAAAAGGCAATTCCTTAGCAAAAGGGAAAAAATGGACATTAAAACAATAATTATGTCAATTATTTGCGAAAATTGAGCATGCAAGTGGAGAATTAAAGAGAGTTTTTCCTGGTAATATTGATTTGTTCGAGTATATACCCTATTATTATTACGGGTTGAGTGTTCAACGGTCAGTGTAATGGAATCGGGCGAAGTCATTGCAGAGGAAGAGACGCTTAGTCAAAAATCTCTCTACTTAACTTTCTCTATGTATTTTGCAAAAAATGTAAACTTCTTAATGGCGACAGTTCAGACTTGTATGCTCGGATACATACATTTTTGGCTCATCTTGAAAGTTGCTTAAACTTATTTTTAAGTAACATTTTCATATTTCCTTCTCTCTCTCTCTTTAACAGAAATAAATAGCATCGACTGAAATTATGCTCATGTTTGGGAGCCATTTTGGCAAAATGCAGAATACATTTTTGGATTAATCTTATCAAATAGGGTCAATGACACCCAATTGACAGGATTTTGAATTTATCCATGAAGGCAATTTTAGGAGGGAAACAAGAGCTGCACGTGAGAGAGAGAGAGAGAGAGAGAGAGAGAGAGAGAGAGAGAGAGGCTTTTCTTGTGCTTTTGGGAGGGAAATACTAGCTACACGTGAAGGAGAGAGAAAGGCTTTTCTTCAAGGAAAACGGGGAAAATGGATGGAAATGCGCCAACATTTAAGAGGAAAAATTGAGTAGCACTAGTTTGGAAATTTTTTTGGCAAATTGAAGAAGAGAAATTCCAGTTCCGATTTTGCCCAGTGTGAGATCTGTTAGTGCGGAAACGAAGTGTTGAAGAAAAACTTGAATTTTTATTGATAGTTTTTGAGTTGCTACAGCACACTCAATAATGTTTTCTTCTTTTTTTTTTCTTACAATGAGACTACAAGAATAACCTCTATTTATAGGACCACATGGATAACTCTAGAGACATGGGAATATAAATGGACACATAATAATTCATGAATTTGCATCATGTATTTTCCTGATACATTTTCTACAAGTGCATGTAACCTTATTTCCTAAGATTACAAATTAATGCCACATTTAACACCCCCTCTTAATTTGTAATCTTGAGTTTTTCCTTGATCTTGTCGAACTTGTCAAATGTGACTGCCTTTGTTAAAATGTCTGCTGGCTGATTATTTGTGTTGATAAATTCCATGCAAATTTCTTCTCGACTTACCAAATCTCGAATGAAGTGATGACGTAGTTCAATATGCTTCGATCTGGCATGAAAAACTGGATTTTTTGTCATAGCAATTGCTGACATATTGTCGCAATGTATTGTTGTTGGCTCTTGTTGTTCAATCATCAAGTCTTTTAGAATTCTTCTAAGCCAAACTGCTTCACAAGCGGCATCCGCAGCTGCAATGTATTCCGCTTCTGCAGAAGATAGTGCTATAGACCTTTGCTTCCTCGAACTCCATGAAATAATATTTGTTCCAAGACAAAAGATGTAGCCCGATGTACTTTTGCGGTCAACAAGTGAGCCTGCCCAATCACTGTCAGTGTAGCCAACAAGGTTGAAGTTATTTTCCTTTTTGAACTCAATGCCTTGATTTTTTGTACCTTTAAGGTATCTCAAAATTCTTTTTGCCGCCGTAAAGTGATTCTTGCTTGGTTCATTCATGAACCTGGAAAGTAAACTCACTGATTGAGTGATATCCGGCCTTGTGTTGAGGTAGATGAGTGAACCAATTAACTTTCGGTAGAGTGTAGCATCTACTTTTTCAGCATCATCATTGACTTGGAATTTTTCATTCGGCCCCATTGGAGTAGAGACTGGCTTGCACTGGTTCATGCTGGATTTTTCTAGAAGATCATCAATATACTTCTCTTGAGATAAAAAAATTCTTCCCGGGCTTTGTTTGACTTGGATGCCAAGAAAGTATTTCATTTGACCCAAGTCACTCATCTCAAAGTCTCTCATCATCTTTTTCTTGAATTCTTCCACCATGCTTTTACTTGTACCAAAGTATAGAAGATCATCCACATAAAGACATACTACAAGAAAGTCTCTTCCAAGATTATTGACATATAGAGATGATTCACTCGTGCTTCGATTGAATCCATTTTGATGAAATAGCTATTGATTTTGCTATTCCATGCTCGCGGCGCTTGCTTTAAACCATAAAGTGCCTTGTATAAACGATAGACTTTTCCTTCTTGTCCTTTGATTTCAAATCCTTCGGGTTGCTCGACATAAACTTCTTCTTGAATTTCACCATTTAAGAATGCCGATTTTACATCAAGTTGATAAACACATACCTCCAATTGAGCTGCCAGTGCCAAAACAGTACGAATTGTCTCCATTCTTGCAACCGGAGCATATGTTTCAGTGTAATCAATTTCGGGCTGTTGAGAATACCCTTTTGCAACAAGACGTGCTTTGTGCTTTTGGATCGACCCATCTTCATTGTATTTTATTTTATAGACCCACTTGAGTCCAATGATTTTCTTCCCTTCTGGCAAGGCAACAAGCTTCCAAGTTTTGTTTTTCTCGATTGTGGACATTTCTTCATTCATGGCTTTTGTCCAACATACTTCTTTTGAGGCTTCTTCAAATGATTGTGGTTCACTAGAGAACAACCCAAGTTCACATGACTCATATATGTCTTGTAGTGAACGTGTCTTTCTTGGAGGGCTTTCTGGATCAGATTCTTCCTCACTTCTTGGAGTAGGGTTTGGATTATGCTCTAAATTTCCAACTTGTGACGGACCTGCTTGAAATGTTAATGGATCAACAAAATGGTATGGTGTCTGGTCCACAACTTCTTTCCCTTTCCAATCCCAAGATGCAGCTTCATCAAAAACAACGTCTCGTGAAACTGTAATTTTGTTTGTAGTTGGATCTAATAACCGATATCCTTTAGATTCATCACTATATCCAACAAAGACAAGTTTTTGTCCTTTCTCGTCAAATTTCTGCCAAATATTTTGAAGTGATCAACCATTGGCTTCTTTTTGTTCCAAGCTTCGTATGGAGTTTTATTCCGTACAGCCTTTGTTGGAGACCGATTGAGAATGTATACTGCCGTATTTACAGCTTCTGCCCAATACAGATTTGGAAGTCCTTTGCCCTTTAGCATGCTTCTTGCCATTTCAACAATTGTGCGATTTTTTCTTTCGGCCACGCCGTTTTGTTGCGGAGTTCGACTCACAGTTAATTATCTTTTAATGCCATTTTTTCTGCAATATTCCATGAAAGGATTATAGAGATATTCACCTCCATGATCGGTCCTTAAAGTTTTTATCAAAAAACCACTTTGCCTTTCTGCTTGAGCTTTGAATTGAAGAAATGTGGAATATGCCTCAGATTTTTGACTGAGGAAGAAAACCCATATCATTCTTGTGAAGTCATCAACAAAGAGAATAAAATATCTCTTGTTTCCAAAAGTGGGAGTTTGCATTGGCCCACAAATATCCGAGTGCACAAGCTCAAGTGGTGCTTTCGTTCTCCATGAAGTTTTTGGAAACGACAACTTGTGCAATTTCCCATAGATGCATCCTTCGCACATTTTGTCTATGTGTTGGATGTTAGGAAGTCCCGTCACCATGTTTTTCATTTGGAGTAAACGAAGGCCTCTTTCATGAAGATGACCATATCGTAAATGCCACAAATACGCCAAATCTTCGTCTCTTGCCTTGAGTGCACAATTCTCATTTAGTGGCATCATAAGAGGAAATGTCTTGTTCTTCATTTCAATATTTGCCACACAAATATTTTTCTTTTTGTCAAAAACTTTACATGCATTGCCCCCAAAGTTTTAAATTTTTCAAAATTTGACACTAAAGTTTTGAATTATTAACTCCTAGGTCCCTAAAGTTAAAGTTTCAAAAGATATCTATGATGCAAAATTAGTGATTCTCTTTTACAAATTTCGGTACTAAACATTCTTTTAAGAGGCATGATTGAGATTTAATTCTATGGGACAATCAAATTCAAATAATTTGGTAAATCATTCATGATAAATTAAGGTTATTTAGAATTTTAAATAAACTAATTGAAACAATATCTCACCAAAGTGACCTCTCTTGTGTAGATTGGTTTATTGGGGATGTTTAGATGTCATATGTGTGCTTGTTCACGTGGGTATTAGCCGACCCAAATGAAGGTTAAAATTTGACAGAATTACATACACACTTGTGGTGGTGAATGTGTGACAATTATAATGTTTCCATGTGAATAATAAATCAATCCAAAGATGGGTTTATCATTTAACAAGAGTTATTGTCAATGTTTGAACACTAAATCAAAAGTATCACTTGCAATTAATATTACTACCAAAGACCTGATATTACTGTTGCACTAGGCACCTTGAGATAGGGCTTACCATTATTTGAATTTACTGATCATTAAATGTGCATATGAGCATGATTATTTATTTATTTTTGTTTTCTGTACAGCTAATTCATTTCCTACTACTATATCTGCCAATGTTAATTCTATTATCATGCTGAATGGGACAAACTTCAAGGATTGAAAAGAGAACATATTGATTGTTCTTGGTTGCATGGATTCAGACCTTACGCTTCGGATTGAGGAACCCGTGGAACTCTAAGAAGTGGGATTACTCAAATCACATGAGTCTAATGATCATTAAGCTCGACATTTCGAAAGCCTTTAGAGGTGTAGTATCTAAAGGGATAACTAATGTCAAGGAGTTTCTCATCGAAATTGAGAAGCATTTTGCGAAAAATGATAAGGATGAAACAAGCACGCTTTTGCAAAACTCGATTTCAATGAAGTATAAAGGCAAGGGAAACATAAGGGAACACATCATGGAGATGTCTCACATTGCTTATAAACTTAAAGGGCTAAAGCTTAAGTTGACTGATGACTTGCTCGTACATTTGGTATTGATCTTGTTTCCTGCACAGTTCAATCAATTTAAGGTCAGTTATAACTGCCAGAAGGAGAAATGATCTCTAAATGAGCTCATTTCATATTATGTGCAAGAGGAAGAAAGGTTGGAGCAAAAAAGAACTGAAAGTGTTCACTTGGCAAGCACTTCTAAGGATAAGGGCAAGAAAAAGAAAAAAGAATATGAAGCTACTCCTAAGGGTCCTAAACCACCAAAAAAAAAAAAAACCGGAATGAAGCCAAAGGAACTTGTTCTTTTGCAATAAGACTGGACATGTGCAGAATGACTGTACCAAATATCACGCATGGCGTGCAAAGAAAGGTACAATTCTTACTTTGGTCTGTTCTGAGGATAATTTAAGTTCAATACCTAGAAACATTTGGTGGTTAGATTCTAGTGCTGCTACTCACATAAATGTTTCTATGCAGGGCTACCTGAGCTACTGAAAGGCAAATAATGGTGAAAGATACATCTATGTGGGTGATGACAAATCGATGGAAGTTGATATAATAGGCACTTTTAGGTTGTTATTAGAAATTGGTTATTATTTGGATTTGAAAGACACTTTTATTATACCGTCTTTTAGACGAAATTTGATTTCTGTTTCTTCGTTGGACAAATCTGGATACTATTGTTCATTTGGAAACAATCAGTTTAGTCTTTCATTAAATTCCAATGTTATTGGTACTGGTTCATTATCTACATCTAACAACCTATATTTGCTCGATATTATTGCATCATATAATGAGATCTTACATGTGGAATCACTTGGTACTAAACGCAAATTAAATAAAGAGAATTCAGCAAAATTATAGCACAAGCGCTTAGGCCACATCTCAAAAACTAGAGTTAAACAACTTGTGTCAAATGGTATTTTGGATTCATTGACATTACGAATTTTGATGTATGTATTGATTGTATCAAGGGAAAACAGACTAAAACAAGGAGATTAGGTGTTTACAGAACTTCAGATGTCTTAGAATTGATACACGAATATTTGTGGACCATTTCCTACAACTTTTTGGAATGATCAACAGTATTTTATATTATTCATAGACGATTACTCTTGTTATAGGTACCTATATCTCATCCATGAAAAATTTGAGTCACTAGAAGTGATCAAAGCTTTCAAAACTAAGGTTGAGAATAAACTCAACAAAAGGATAAAGAGCGTTAGGTCTAACCGTGGTGGTAAGTACTACGACAGATATAACGGTTCTGGTGAACAATATCCAGGACCATTTCTTAAATTCCTAGAGGAATATTGAATTGTACCACAATACACCATGGTAGGATCGCCTAGCATGAATGGGTAGCTAAAATATGAAATAGGACTCTTAAATACATGGTAAGGAATATGATTAGTCATTCCAAGTTACCAAAATCACTCTGGGGAGAGGCATTAAAGACCTCAACTTATATTCTGAACAGAGTACCGACTAAAGCTGCTTCTAAAACACCTTATGAACTTTGGACAAGTAGAAAGCCTAGTCTAAAACATTTTTACATTTGGGGATGTCCAGTTGAGGCTAGACCTTATAGGCCACATGAAAAGAAATTGGACTCCAAAATAGTTAGCAGCTATTTTATTAGTTATTATGAGCAATCTAGGGACTATAAATTTTATGATTTCACACTTAAGTCAATTTTTGAAATGAGAACTACAACATTTTTTGAGGATGTTGAGTTTGTGGGGGAGAAATAAGGTTAAAGACATTGTTTTTGAGGAAGAATCGATTTCAATTCCTATTGTGCTTCTAACAATATACAGGTTTCTATACCTATTATTGATAAAGAAGTATATCCAAAATCTTAACAAGACAATGTTGAAGAACTTCCCATCTAAAATGAGATAACTATTTTAGAAGTACAAACTCAACAATTTCAAGAACCAATACCATTAAGCAGATCCACGAGAGAGAGAAAAAGGGAAAGTGCTATTCCGAATGATTTTATAGTATTTCTCCAAGATCATAAGGAAAATAATGGATTGGTAGAAGATGATCCAATTGATTTCCATCACGCCATGTAGGGTTCTAACTCTTAAAAGTGGATTGATGCAATGAATGAGGAGTATAAGTCTATACAAGAT